ACAGCCAATCAGGCGGCTAATTTGTAGACTGGCGGCGTGGAGCGACCTTGAGGTGGGCGAAGGCTGGCTAGCGTGAGCGCGCAGTCATGCCAAGGCGTATGTGCGCGTCGGTCAAGGACAGTTAGCGCCTAGCCCCAGGAGATAGTGGACGCGTTGGCAGGCTAAAGGCGTCCTGCGTCAGCGGCTGCTCTTGGGTTCCAGCTGGCTGCAAACGGCCACTTCAAAACTTCATCTTAAAAAACGTTGGCAATTGTGTTGTGGTGTTTAGTACAAGTTAACATGTGGGATTCAGAGGGGGAGTGCAGTTAAGTCCAACCTACCGGAAGAGACAAGGTGCCTTCACAATCACCCCATGTGGGGGTGAGGAATCTGGTAAGCTCATATTCCCACCTGCTAAGGTAACTGCGAAAATAGGATGCATGCCTTATTACTCAGCCATTGCTACATTTATAGGAAATACTAAGCTTCCATGTTTATTTGATTTTGGAGAAGGTAGCTCCTTGATAGAAAGGATATGATCTATAAACTCCAGGCTAGAGCTAGGTACTTTATTAAGTCAAAGTTAGCCTGAAAACGGCAAATGACCATACGTTGCAGCATGAAGGTATGTTAAAACTTGTGATACTATTCAATAACGTTTTTAACCCTTTTTATTTGTCCCATATAGCTTGCAACTGCATACTAGGTGCCAATTTTCTAAATGCACACACAGGCCGTATTATATGATACTATTTGCTGGTCTTGGTAACTATGATTACTGCAATAAGCACTCCTGGCATTGGCATATTACTTCTGGCAACAGAATCCCAGTGCAAGCCCTCATATGTTCCGGACCTCAAACATGTATCTACTCTGAATAGCATCAATCCAGTCAAACACTTCTAGTTGAGATCGAGGGAAATGAGCTCAGGGCTGGCCTGAATCAGCATCACTTCTGACTAATATTGGCGTCAGTAATCATGTCAGTGCTATTATAATCCATTTGCATCGCTGTTAAGTAGAAATAATAATAATAATAATAGTAGTAGTAGTAGTAGTAGTAGTAG